TGGTTTCTAATTTATACAAGTAATTATAGAAATCTTCATAATGATTTTCCTTAGCGTTAAAATAACATAATAAAAATGAATTATCTAATTTATCTTGACTTTTTAGCATATTCTATACATATTTCACAAAAATGTTGAATTAAACATTTTTTCGTTATATAACCGCAAACATAAATGAATGAATTTTGATTTGGAATTTCTAAATCTCTATAATCAATTGGTCCAATGAAAAAGGCTATTGATTTCTTGAATTGAAAAAGAGAATTATTTGAAAAATTTTTGTTAATATCTGAACCTGGGATTGATTTGGAATTTGAGCCAAATCATCTAAATTATAAATACAATTAGCATTTTCTGAATGTTGAAAGTAATTAAGTAAAAATATTTTTTTAAAGGCATATAAAAACTGATAAGGTGTTGGATTCATATTGTTTCCATTTTGCTGTCGAAAAGTACAAAAAAGGTTTTCAAGGCAATCTTGGTTTATACTTCCAGTATAAAGCACATAAGTTTCTTGTTGAACTGTTGATTTTGACAATTTCAAATCCTTCCATAGTAAGACCAAGCCAGACTGACCAACCTTTTATAAATTTCATACCATATATAACATCATTACCACTTTTATTATCAATTACTTTTAAATTAGAAAAAAATTAAACATAAATTTTAGATGATTATCTTGTTTAAAAGTTAATTTAAATGGTCGATTGAAATTTTTTGAAGCCCGGTTGTTTAGAAGAATTAAAAATATCAAAAAGTTTATCCATAATACTAATAAAATCTATTGAATATTTTGAAGAAAAATGTAATTTATTGGTGGCTTGATACGTTTTCATTCCAACTGCAATACTCTGATAGGGAAGTCGAAGGTCCAGAAGTTGATCAACGTTTTCCTGATTCCTTTGAAAAATAATGTAATAATTAAGATAATATTAATTATGTAATAATTAAAGATGTAATAAAGTAATCTAAATTTAAATAAAAAATTGTTATGAGTAATACTGAAACTATTAATAGTATTATATTTTTTATAAAATTTTAATTATTTTAGATATAATAAATAATTAGATTTTTTACAATTTTTATTTTTTAGTTATTATTATTATTGTTATGATAAGTCATTTGTTGAAAGGAACCCATGGATTATTTTCAGTGAATCAAGTTTATTTTTTAACAATTATTTTTTAAATTATAAACATAAAATAAAAAAATATTTCCATTTTCCTTTATTTTCTGAAATTTAAAACCAAAAAAGAAAAAAATTTATTTTAAAAGAAAACTACTAATTAATTTTTGATAATTATACTACACTGAATAATTATTTTACAAATAATTAAAAATAAACACGAATTAAGATACTTGTGATCACACGAAAGAGCAAAACACAAGTGTCAACATATACAAACTAGATATTATTGAATACACTATGAATGGTATGCTCTAGAGGGTCGCAGGATTGTTGATTAACAATAGGGATGATTTGGAGTAACGGTTTCTACCTTGTGCACCTTAATAATCTAGTATACTTATGCAAGATGCTATTGTTCTAGGGTAATAGCACCCTGCATTTTAACTAATGCAGGACTAGAACAGGTTTATGGTTGGGATAGGTAAATAATGTGTTAAATAGAAGAAGGTTAGCATTCTATAAGCGAAATTAAATATTTGTAGCTTACTACATAATATATTAAATTATTATTTCATTTAAAATATCTTTTTTATTATTGTAAAATAACAAATGTAAACAAATTTTTAGGCTTTCTTCATTTGAATTACATAATGTGAGTTACTGTATACGCAAGTATAGAGTCTACAAAAATATCCTTAGGGGATGGGTACATAAGTAAATGTATTGGGGGTATCTAGACCCTCTACATTTTTCCGGCCAGATAGTACGTAATTAATTATAACATATAAAATTGATTCCAATTGCTACTTAAAATCATTTCTTCTCTTATAGAAATTTTACCTCAGAGCCTAATAAAATAGGAAGCCTGCATCTATAGCTCGCTTAATTTGTATTTGTGTACAGAAACAAAACCAATTGTAACTGCTTAAGTCAAATTTAAGTAGTTAATAATTTATATTATAAAAATTGAGAATTACTTAATTTGCATAACTAATTTAGGGATTTTTAATTATAATGGATAATAAATAAGGCTAAATGAGAGATTATGAGTTTAATACCTTAATTTTATGATGTATTAAAATAAGTTATATCAATAATCATGTTTTTTTATGGAATTTCATAATATTTATATTACAGCAGATTTAATAATAAAATAAATTAACAGAATTTTTGCGCTTATAAATGTGGTTGCAATGATTTTTCTGCTGCCAATCAAAACGCCATTTTGTTATCGGGTCAAGTAAACATCTGGTTTCATATAGTCTGGTTAAACAATCACATAACTGTAAGGTAATAAAATGGGTGATTTCGTATGACGATTATGATGCTCAAGTTTACTCTTTAATCTTTAGATAAAACTTTTTGCTTCCCTTAAACTTATTTCTGTTTTAATAGTATATTAAGTTTAAGTATATAAGTTTCAATTTTTTTAGTTAATGGTTATAGATATGTGTTCTGATCGTCAGATTTTTAGTAAAAATCCAATTTGTAAACATTTTTATTTTATTTTTCAAATAAAGTAACTTAAAAATTTTTTATTTAAGTTACATGATTTAGTCTTAATCTAGTGAAAATAAAGCTGTTTTTATACGATTGATTACGTTGACAACGTTTATAGGTATCATGTATCGTTTTAAATTAGGATTTTATTAAAACGTTTAAAAAAATATCAATATCATATTTCTATGTACGAGATGTTTTTGTTGTTTTATAGACACCGAAGAAAACATTATCATAATAAATATAATTTTTATCAAAAACATTATAATTTATTACTTATAGAAAATAAGGCATTGAAAGATTTTTTGTTTACAGAAAAAGCTAGTGATACACAATTTATAACAAACTGAATATTGTTTAAAATAAAAATCAAAAATTATTTTATTGATAAGCAAAATAAAAAAATAAAAATTGTTAATCATTACTTTTAACTTGTTTATAATTATTACTATAACTTTTAAAAATTTTATAACTCATTATCACCTCATAAATATATGAATATCTATTTATATATTTTTTAACTATATTGGTTTAATATGATTAATGATGTAAGCCTGAAAATTTAAAAATATATATGCAGTTTTTATATGAAACATTAAATATTGATTAGTTAATAGCTAATAATTAGCGTATACAAATATATTCAATATTAATTATTATTTTCAATAAAAAAAAATTTAATCAGTATCTAGTAATGTTAAAATTAACGTTCATTCGTTCAACATAATTAAAATATTTTCTAATTTCCTATAATTTAAGTATTGAAAGAATTAACTATATTTTAAAGTATAAGGCCGAATAAAGATGGATCAAGGAGTCTACTGACACAGGTATCAGATTAAATCAATATGAAAAAATATAAAAACTAAACCAATTATTGCACTTAATATTATTTATAAATCTCAGTCCAGAATGAATAGAGGATCTAAGAATATAAGAGTAATAGATGGTATAAAAGGCAACAAAAAAATATTGTAAAATAAGTAGATATTTGCGGAATAATCCTTCAACTTATAATTCAGTCCTTTTAAATATTATTTGAACTAAACTTATAAGGTGATAAGTGAGGAAGTAATGTTGAGAAGCTGAGATGGTATTAGTTTTGAAAGTGAATGAATAAAAATAAACATTTTTTAGGACTATCTTAGATATGTCCACTTTATTAAAATTTAATTTTTTTGAAAATTCTATTATTTTCCTATTGACAAAAGGAAAGGGTTTAAAGTAACAATTTTTTTAAGAAAAATAAATGTTTGGAAACTTTTTGGCAATACTGTGTCTATTAAGTATATATTGTCGTAAGTTGGTAGTACGCGACGTAGAAACAAAAAAGTACACAAATTAATTAATAATTTTAATGACAAGTTTGTCGTTTATAGCTCTTCTCAAGTCCTCACGTTGGTTACACTGGTCAGTCCCAATCCCTTCAATTATTGAAACACTAAAAGGTTAGGTTTTAGACCCGTCAGCACAGTCTAGCTCAAAAATAGTAGACCCAAGGGTGCTCTTCGTCAGTCACCAGTAACTTCTACGTTTTCACTATATCTACTAAAGGATGGTTAAACCCAAAAACTAGCCAGCACACGCACTAATTGTTAAGATCGACTAAAGGATCAGGAGTCCAATCTTGACTCTTGCCTCACATACACACAATTTCAATAACACGGTAGATACAATATATTCAGGTTTTGAACGGCTATCTTTTATTTACGGAACGTAATAAACAAAATCAAAATACAATGTAACACAATATAAATTAAGCCGTTCGAAATACAGTTTCACGCGCTAAAAATCAATCTCCATTATTTATTTTGTTTCCCTTTATATATTCTTGATCATTCTATTGTTAATTTGCTTATCATGGATTTTATCTTTATATGACATTATTATTTTACTTAAGAATTTAAAACTGCTTACTACTGTGTTAAAAATTTATACTATACTGATATAGAAGTTATTTAATAATTTTTCATATATTTACTACAATATTAAAATACAGCTTTGTTACATTTTACAATATAAGGATTTTCGCAGATTTTTATGTTAGTCTAATAAGCTTTTTAAAAGGAGGGGAATTATTTTTCCTTCAAAAAAAAAAAATGTTCAAGCTACTATTGCCTTATGATAAATAACATTTTCAATTTGTACTGAAATTATAATCATTTAACGAAAGTTGGAATAATCGAATTTTTTTTCAAATATTTTAATCACTGTTAGATTTATAATAGTGCCGTCTGTTGTAGGTTCCCACGTTGCCACATTCTGTCTTTATTGGGTTTTTATGATTAATTGATTTGAAATAGAAATTTAAAAATTAATACGTTGAGCAATTTTTAGCATTTCAATTAATTTTTTTATTTCCCGTTTTCAGATTATAAGATATATATCAAGTGTTCAGTTATTAGATAAAAAACAATTGATAGTTAATAGTAGATATTTAAATGTTCAATTTTACTACAATCCAATTGACGAAGAATGGAAAAGAGAAAAATGTATACGTTTGGGATTTACATTTAATGAACATAAGGAATTTAATTATAATGAAGTTTTATCGGACAACTTTAATTTATACAAAGTTTTGTCTGACTTAATATGTGGTGATGAAAAATTCAGTATAAAACTACAAAAAAAAATTTGTTTAGTAAGTTAAAACATTTTTAAAATACAATTATGCTGGACAAATATTTTAAGTCTTGGTTTTAAATACTGGATTTTAGTAACTTATACATTACCAAAGATGAAAAAAATATTATTTAAAAAAGTTTGGTTTTGTGGCTATAAAAATAAAATAATGGATTTTTACTATTTTTTGTATGTTTATTGATTAAAAAATATTATAGTTTTAAATAATGATAAGGTATATAACTATATTAAAATAAATATATTGTGTGAAAAAAATAAAATAATACATTATTATTAATAAAATAATATAGTGTCTATTATTAATGTTTGAAATTAGTTGCATTATTTCCCAAATAAAAAATTACGAAATTTCTTTTATTATATTGAATTTGATAACAAATTTTAAAATTCATTAATTCTAATCAATCATTAATTATTCTCTATATTACATATATATAGTCCAAGAGATTATGTAACATATCAATCAAAATCCTACGACAAGGTCATAAAATCCTATGTCTTTAGTGAATTTTTTAAAAAGCACAAACACCAATATTTTTCAAAAAATAATGGTAGTTTAAATCTTTTAGATGTTTCTAAAAACAAAATTATCATTAAAAAATAAGCTAAAAACATTTTTTTTTAACCTGTGTTATTATTAATATTTAAAATTGTTTTAATGTATGAATAAACTAGAGCATAAAATCAAATGATCACATTAAACAACTTTTTCTTGTGGAAGAATCTTTTGATGATTATTTAAAGGATTTTATAAAATTTATAGATCCAGGTATGTTTCTTTAGCGTTACAAATTAATTACTTTATTGTAAATTACTCAATTACACTAGTTTAGAACAACATTGATCTATAACATTTGATAGTCATTTTTTATGTAAAATCTTCCACTGAGTCCAAAAATGAAGTCCAAACTACAAAAAGTAGAACAGTTTTTGAGTTATTGCAAAATTAGTGTTTTTCGTATACCTCAAAAAAGTTTTTAATTTATTTTCTAAATATCTTTAATTGCGTTCAACCGATTTTCAATTTTTTTACATAAAATTAAACAATATTAAATTACCTTTAACTTTTGTCTTGAACAATTTCTAATTTGACTTTTTTCTCGTTTGCTATTTACGATTTTACCACTGATTTTTTATCATTTTTTTCAAAATATCAGAAAAAATTCAGAGTTTACGTAAAATACACCAATAAAATTAAATTTATCAACAATATATTTAACAGACATTATACTCTAATGTATAACAAATTAAATGATGTATTATTTTGTAAGATTGATAAAAAAATGAAGATGTTGTGCGCAATTGAAATAATAAAAAAAATTTTTCAAATATCAGAATTTTTATTATTTGGTACTTTAATTTTGTAAAATATGGAAAAAAATATTGCAAAATTACTCACAATATTACCTTTGAACAAAATTTCGATTTTTTAAATAACTTGAGGTTTTTTTCCTATAGTTTTATTGGGATATTTTTAAATTAAATTAGTTTTACAGTTTATCGGGATTACAGTAAATTTTCGATTATAAAAAAAAAAATGAAAATTCTCTGAAAATATTGAATAATTTGCTACAGAATTAAGAAAACTGAAACTGTTTTAGCATGGATTTAGAAAAATAACTTTTAATAAAGTAAATTTCATATGTTATTCAAAATATTAATAAATAATAAGTTTTTCTATTACTGATTGTTTTCAAAAAAAAAACAATCTTGTAAATTCGTATATAGCAAACGAGAAAAAAGTCAAATCAGAAATTGTTCAAGACAAAAGTTAAAGGTAATTTAATATTGTTTAATTTTATGTAAAAAAATTGAAAATCGGTTGAACGCAATTAAAGATATTTAGAAAATAAATTAAAAACTTTTTTGAGGTATACGAAAAACACTAATTTTGCAATAACTCAAAAACTGTTCTACTTTTTGTAGTTTGGACTTCATTTTTGGACTCAGCGGAAGATTTTACATAAAAAATGACTATTATATGTCATAGGTCAGAACATTTTTTTTTATTTGTAAACTAGTGTTATCTGTAAAATAAAAAAAATATTCAGATGTTAGCTTCGATGCGAAGCTGAGAAGGTATTAGTTTTACTATGATGTGTTTTTTTTTTTTTTGTGTCTGTTACCACTTTTTCTCAGCTCTCACCGAACGGATTTCTTTCAACGATACGTCAAAAGATCACAAATCGTATCTAGTCGAAGACATTACCCTTAAAAATTGAAAAAATTTCCCTCGTTCCCCGTAAATGGGGGAAACCTCCAAAAAAATTACAAATTTAAAAATCGCTAATTTTCGAAANAGGAAATCTCCAAAAAAATTACAAAATTAAAAATCGCTTATTTTCGAAATTTTTTCAATTCTTTTTACTTAAAACTGCCATAACTTTTTCAAAAATGACACAAATCAATATCATTTTATTTTTTTATATAAATTTGACTTTTTACCTGACCACAGGAAGGGATTTAAAATGACAACTTTTTCACAAAAAATTTACTTTTTCAACTTAACTTTAAGTGTTCCAGAAATACTAACACTTGTATATCTTAAATTAAAGCTAATGTAATATACTTTATTATGGAAAAAAAAAAATTCTGACTTTATTTGGTCTTTACGGTGAAAATGGCTACCAAATGCTATTATTGTGTGAAAATTCTCGATTTTATCTTTACATTTTTAACTTTATTATGCTATAACTTTTTGAAAAATGTATGGATCAATACAATTTTTTATGGGAAATAATATTTTTTAATAATCCCATTTTTATTCGATATATTTTATCTTAATCAGGATATTAATAAGGAAATAGCAGATCATGTAGCTTTTGGAATATTCTACTAATTTTTTTAAAATTAAACACTATTTAAAGATTTGCATCGAAGCTTTTTTTTTATAGTGATTTTAATCACTGTCAGATATTATTATACTTGATCCAACTATGTTACTTAGTAGAGTTATAATACAGTATATCAGTACAAATATATATATATATATAGAATTTAAAATTTTTGTAAAACGAAAAATTATTAAGTTTATAAAACTCTATAATAATATGAAGTTAAATAAATTTTTATTTTATCCCTTCAGCGATAAAAATGTTTATTTATAATTTTTTTTAATGGAAACTACTATTTTTGATTTGATAATATGATAAAAAAAAAAATTACAAACAATTTTGTTCTTATGATTACGTTTTATAATTGTTTAAAGATTTTGACTTCCAGAAAAAATATTGTCGTTTATTACGTTTCATAATATCGGTGGCAGTGCAGCCGGTAATTTTGTTAGATCCTTTAGTCTTGCAAAACGATAGACTTAGCTATTAATAATACACTGAAAACCCGGGTTGAATCTATTATTGTTATCAGTCATTTAGTGCGTGGTACATTTTTATAGCTAATTTACCTGTCATAACTTGATCAATAAAATTTGGTTTATGCAACAACAAATAAAAATAATGACTTCTGTATTAAATACAGTAAAATAAGAATATATAAATTTGGCCTAAAATAATTAACAAGCTGTAACGTACGAATGGTTAATCGGATAAAAAAATTATAAGAACAAAATTGTTTGTAATTTTTTTTCTATCATATTATAAAGTTAAAAATAAGGATTCCCATTTAAGAAAATTATAAATAAAGGTTTTTATCCTTGAAAAGACGAAAAAAATAATGGTTTGACTATACATGATTGTAAAGTTTTTTGAACTTGATATTTTTTCTCTATAATAAAATTTAAAATTCTCAATATTTTCTGAGAAAATGAGTGTCTTACCAGATTTTGATCACCTGTATTTCTATTATTGATGTTATTTCGATAAAGCAATGGGTGTTCCTACACAATTCGCATGCACTTATTATTTTTATTTTTAGATTTTTAGATTCTAAGTTTAAATTAAAGGTAAAGGTAATTTAATCAGTAAGCCAGTAGCTGAGGAGGGATCCGCTACTGCCCCCCATTCTATATTTTATGTTTCTTATACAAAAAATGGAAAGGGTAGGTTTTATTGTTAAGATATTAAGATATTTTGATAAATATGTTTGCTAGTTAGGCATACAGTATACCAGTTTATATTATTGATAAATAGAAAATTAAATACAGAAAAACAATTCTAATTATTTTATTTTTATTTTGTGAATAATGATAATATAAATCCCGTGTAGAGATTATGATTTTTTACACTTATTACAGCATTGTCAGATAAAACTTTAACTTACTTTAACACGATCTCAATAAAATTAACATTATTATGTAATTAAAATTTACCATTCCACACAAAATTAAATTAGATCTCTTTGCATTATTGAATGAAAAATTCAATTATTGTTTTCGTCGACGCCGAGCGATAACGAATTAATGATATCGTCAAAATCGGTTTTCCAAGTCAAAAACACCGATAGTCGCACGTATACAACGGACTTCGCTAGTTGCTCCAGAAAACAGCATAAATAATTTTAAAAATATCAAAAAATATGTGTCGGAAGAGCAAAAATTCTGAAGGACTGAATGATAGTAAAAGATGATCAATATGTCAAATTAGATATGAAAAATTATCTACATATTTACATAGGCGATTTTATACAGTTTAAAAAAACGTAAACTATAACTTTTAAACAAAAACGCCTATGTACAAATGTAAATAATCTTGTTTTGATTTATTTGACATAATGAGTATCTCTTTGCGACCAAAAATTTCTTTAGAATCGTTGCTCTCCCAAGACATGTTTTGATGCGAAAAAAAGTACTTAAACACCCTCCTGAGAAGGAATTATTGAATTATCAGGCTCCATTTGCCTTAGGTATAATTCGAAATTTCTAAATACATTAACATTATAATTAATTGATAAATTAATTTTAAGAAAATAACAAAACTGCTGATACATTTTTAAATTATTTTAGTTTTACCATATAATGAAGGTAAGTTTAAAAAATATTTTATTTCCAATTATTATAATAAGTATCACTTTTAAAAAATAATTTTGTTATTTAAATTTTTAATTTAACTTTTGTTAAATATGGTATTTCTTATGTTAAAAATTAGATGGAGCTGAAGAATGTCCAATTTGCTTTACAGAATCTGATATCCCTGTAGTTTTGAATAGTTGTCGCCACTCTTTCTGTTATCACTGTATTGAAAACCTTTTACTAAAAGACACAAATATATGTCCACTTTGTAGAGCAGATTTTAGTTTTTACTTGGACAAAGACGAAGGTATTACACTAAATAATTTTGAAAATACTTTTTTAATTGTGTTTAAATAAGAAAGTTATTGACGATTAGCAAGGTCACATCTACGGGTGATTGGGGGACTGGGTGTATGTGCCTGGACGGCAGATTTTAAGGGATGACTTGAATTATGGAGCAAATTTACTAGGGTTGGCGTGATGTCCATTGTCTGTTCAAAATTTGGTCAATTGACCAAAGAGATTTAGACTGGTTATAATTTGGTAAAAATAAAAAAAAATAAAAATCTTTATTTATATTTTATATTTTTACCATATTTTCTTAATTAGTTTCGATTTCATAAGATGAAAAAATTTGTATTCGTTTGACATTTTTTAAAATCAAATACATTATGTAATATTATGAACTTAGAATAAAGTAATTATTTTATAATGTTCATGATGAATACAAAGTGTTTAACTATTACTCACCATATCTTAAAATTATAAAACATTTTATAATTTTTTCTTTTAATAAGTTAATAGTAACCTATGTTCCATAGTTTTCAAAATATAAAAAATGTGCGTATCGTCCCTCTTCCTCCATTAAAATAGCATCAACTTAAGACATTAAAAGGAAACATTTATGCTTAATTAGTGCGGCACAAAAAAGCAAATCCTACTGTTGTCATAGTATAAAAGTGTTAATATGTTTAAAAATACGGGTTCAAAAATTGTTATTGACCAGTAATCTTATCATTTTCTTATTTTAACCTAATTAAATATATATATTTCCATTTAAAAAACTCAAGTTGATATTATTTTTAATAATAGGGAGAGATAGAGGAGGGATAAGGACAATTTTATTATTGAATATTAGAGAATATAAGAACAATTTACTTATTAAAAAAAAATTATCTATATATTAGATCTGTTTTATACTTTAAAAAATTCAATGAGACATAGCCTTTTTCCAAATCTAAGAAACTAACTGTTGTTTAAACATGTTATTTTATTACATGAAAAATTTTAATAAAATTTGATAAGGACTAAGCTCTTATTTATTTTTTAGGAAATGTAATTTCTGCATGTGGTTATATGGACTTGTTAGCTGCAGCACATTACCTGGATGTGTGTATTTTTGTACATTATAGTTTAAATGTTTGGTTGTATTTTGACAAAGACTATACATTAGATATGAAAGAGAAAAAGTGTATTTATTTATATGTATATAATAATACTTATGGAATTATTACTAGCCCAGAAATGCTATTTTATTTACCATGAACAAGAATTTGCTACAATTTAAAGAATGTTTAAGGAAGAAAAATAGTATGACATAACCATTTTTCTTCTATACTTATTTTAAATCATGAAAATAAAAAAAAAAGCATCACAGTTAAATATATATATATATTGTTTGATTGATATATTGTTAACCACTAGATTTCTTTAAAAAAAAAAAAATTTCTATCTTTTTTAAGGTCTTTATTTCTTATTTACAATTCATTAAATATTTTTCAGTCCATCATATGTAAAGGTAGCTTCTTAATTTTTTGAAATGGTAACATACGTACATATATGTATGTATATTTCACATACATTCAAGCAATTTAATTCAATTGGTTGTTAATAAGATACTTAATTTATAAAAGACTCTAAATTAAACCATGTGTAGAAGTTAATATGTTATATTCAACTAAATTTGGCACTTTATTCATTGCAAGGTTCGTTCAAATTGAGTTCATTTATTTGTAAAATATTCTTCATGTATTCATACATTTTATGACAAACTAAAATTACCATCATGGTAAATTGTTAATTAAATTCACAATGAACTATATTCTTTACATGGTGACCCGGTTATTATAACTCACTCAATTACTCACAGGATAAAAATAATTTTGGAAACAATTTTTTTGGCTTTTTTAAGTTACATATTATTATTGATTTATTATTTATTAAGTATTTCTGTAAGTTATTCTTGTGCTTTATTAGAGTGCTAACTTTATTTATTTTTATGATAACAACATACATATTTAACTAACCTGTAAAATAGAAAATTATCTAATTATGACAATGACTGGTCGATAACAACGATTGGACCAGTACTTGTTAAGTTATTAACATTTTTTTTCAAGTTGGTAAGAGAAGTGCTGATTAAATATTTTTTATGAGAAATAATTATATTTGTGTCTCTCCCTCAGTCTATATTCTTAAATACAGAGTATTTAAAAAGTAAGGAAACAAGTGAATTCTTACAAACGATGAATAAAAACCCATTTCCTAAGGAAAAGGGTTCAGTAAGTAATTGCTTACTGAACACTATATACAGGGCCGTCCTAAGGCCGGGGCGAGCGGGGCCCACGCCCCGGTCCCCGTGCTTCGGACTCCTCGTTTGGGCCCCGCGCTAACGCACTTAAATAATCTTAAGTTTTCTTTGACTTAACTATTTACATATATTATAAATGTAGTTTGAATTTTTATTTGACAATATTACATTATTAAATAAATGAAATAGAATGTTATATTATTTTTGAAATAATACTTTATGTATGTTAACATTTGAAATGGTTGAGATTACGACTTACGTGAGTGTAATTTTTTGAGAGAGTTTTTTGGTAGGCCCCGCAAATATAGTTATGCCCCTGGCCCCGCAAAGTGTAGGGACGGCCCTGACTATATATCTAAAGTACTAGACCTAAAAATTGTTATCTAACAGAGNACTATATATCTAAAGTACTAGACCTAAAAATTGTTATCTAACAGAGACTTTCTTAATTAGGTAATTTCTTATTTCATAAGCTAGTTAAAACATGTAAAAAAAAAAAAAAATTTTTAATTTCTAAATTTTGTGATTTACTTACAAACAAGTACCTATTAAGTTACAAGTCTATTAATACATAGAGTGGGTATGGAACGCTGGCGAATTATACGTACACAAGTTCGAGATGAACCTCCTCGCGCTGTATACTTTCTCAATGTATTAAAATGCTTGTAACGTAATAGGTACTTGTTTTAAAATTGTTATCGACACCTCAAAATTGTTTGTAAGTAAATCACAAAATTTAGAAATTAAAAAAATTTTTTTTTTTTATTGGTTAAATCTTTGGAAAAAAAAATATATTATCGAAATTGTTTTGTAAGTATATGACTGTGTTATGATAAACGGATTACCCTAAATATGTTACTAACTTAATTTCTTGTGTTAATCATTATTTAAGAAATAATAGGATAAGAATAGTCATATGATGCATCATAGCTTCTGATTTTTTAACAATACTCAAAAAATTATTATTATGTAAACAAATTAAATTAGAATATCAATTGTTGTGTTATTAAATTAAGAACTAATTTTGTGTAAATTTCAAGAAAAATATTAAATTTAATCTATTAATTATCTTTAAATTTAATACATTAGGTATTTTTATTAGGTAGGACATTGAAATAACTTTTATTAAATGTCAAATTTAACTGAACAAACAGAAATCAATAGAGAATTTTGTCAACTCTAGCGATTTTTTGTCAATCTACTTACTTTTCACTTGAATCTTGTGTAACAACACACTATGGCGTTCCTTCCGTTGCTCTTTTTTACTAGAAACACTTGTGTCTGTTATGTGTCTCTCCATAAAACCTATAATTCTTTGAAGACCAATAAATATTTGATTGACTTATTAAAAATATATATTAGACCACTTACCCGTTGCAGTATCATTCTTTATACTTCTTGACAATTGTTTAGTTGTTGATGCCAAATAAAAACCTGTAGTCAAATATTATTTAATATGTTTGCTACAATAATTGTAAATTATAAATATAATAAATTACAAAATCATTTACCGTAAGACCAAAGTAAGAGCGCTATGATTAAATAACGCGAACAGAAAAGCTTTACCATGTCTTTGGACGTGATGAAGTCAAGTAACAGTAGTAAGCTATTGCAAATAATATTAACGGCTTTTTGAAAACCATATAGCCCAATTAAACATGCACTTATGGAATGTTAAACGTTCCATAATCACACGACAGTTTGTTTAATTTAATGTCTGGGAGTAACTACACAATTAAATACGGTCACGTTGTTCGTTCATTGCTCTTTGATACATCGCTTTGTTTTTATTTTGTTTTTAAATACGTGACCATTGGAATTTATTACACTATATGGCTGTCTTGTATAACAATTAAATTAAAACATCAACTAATATTTGGTGACTGTATAAGACGAAAAAAGAAGATACAAGTTTATTATTTTACTCAAACGTATTTTGCGTTAACGTAAAATCATTATACTATTTAAAAATTACTGGTAAGCTCACAACACAAAAAAGTAATGCAGAAGAATATACGTAAATTTTACTTGGGTATCAAACCGACGAACTGATATTTTAATGTATACTGAATTACTGGAATTGTCTGTAATAGCCTACTAATAATAATTTTCAATTGACTGAGGTAAACTAATCGAACACAACATTTTTAAGTGCAAAGCTTATAAATATAAACAAAATTATTTATCTTAACAAAATTTCTTCAACTTTATAATGTATAAGGGATAAAATAAAATAAATCAATAATAATAAATCGAGAAGTATATAAATTTTAAAAATACCAAAAATAATTTTCTTAATGTAGTTATTATTTTAGGAGTAATCAAGTTGCTAATATTAAAATAATCACTAGGAATACAACAACTTTATAACTATATTTAATTTCTCCGTAATAATTAAAATGCTTAATTAATCTCAGTATCATACTACATTTAATTATAGTAATAAGTAGTTATTCATATATATATATATTATACTTATAGATCATGAAACTTGTAATCACGATAAAAATAATGGAATAGGTTATTAATTAGTAAAAAATTGAATTCGTTAAATAACGAATCCTGTTTAGCTGTTTGAATCCCTAGTCTAGCCAATAAAATATTAGAAATGAAATTTAAATTGTCCAACATATGTTAAAAAATTCCTTTTTTGTTACCTTTGGAATAAGTCAATAATTTCTTCTAAAAATTAAACATCTTTAGATTTTCAGCGAAGCGATTTTTATAATAATGATTTTAATTACTATCAGATATCATCAATACATGTCCCAACTGAGATGCAGTCCCACAGTGATGTGTTTTTTTGCAATAAAAGTGCTATTTAATATGGTTTATAAAAATAAATCAAATTTTAATCTATACATTTTAACGAAAAAAACATTATTTGACCAAAAAATAAGGGTTTGTAATTAAAAAAAAATATACTGTATAAACTTTTCTATTAATAAAAATATACATAAATTTATTTTACTAAAGAATTTCATTAGGTTAAGTATTATTTTTTATAATTATAACCTTTATATTTAAAATATTTCTATTTGATTAGTTTTTTAATTCAATAATTACAATTTTAGCTTCGATGCGAAGCTGAGAAGGTATTGATTTTACTAAGATGTGTTTTTTTTTTTTTTTTTTTTTTTTTTTTTTCCCAC